CATGTTTGCATGTGAACGTTTTAGTTTTTACAACCTGTCTCAGTCATACTTCTACGGTATATGTTATATGTATGTATATGTATACTTAGTTTCTTCTTTGCTGCGAGAAAATGGAAAATAATGTTTTTTTTCAGTCCAGGGTACATATACATATGAAATCTAATGATTTTGGTCTCAAAAGTGAGAAATCCGAAAAAAATCTTTTGTAGCAAGCAGGCATATACACATGTAAGTATATATCAAAATTGTGCTACTAAAAAATAGTGTTTATTTTATTTATTTCGTTTGGGGTGTAATGCGAATGTAACTGTCAACAAAATTCCATTTTGAAAGATTTGTGTCGTTCGATGCATCATCAAAAAATGTGTTTGATAGAAACGTGCGGGAAGAAAAAAGGGAACGTTAAACGACATTACAAACTTGAATTCTTCAAACTCCCTTCAGAAGGTTTTCAAGCAACTAATTGCAACCTACGAACAAAATTTTAATACCAATTTAAACGCCAGTAATATTGGAATAATTCTAGAGAAAGCAAATAATTATATACAATTTCAAGTTTCTACGTTAGTAAGAAACAAAATGGTTTCTTAAAAAATTGACATTGTAACCAAATGGAAAGCAGTGTCCTTGGAGTCGTTGGTAAGTCGTTTCGTATCATTGTACAATTATTCTAGTTTTTGGTTACAGAAATTTATTCCCTTTTTGTAGTACATGTTTCGCTTTTTTGGTACTACCAGACAAAATCCATCTTCTTTGTTTTGAAAATGATGAAAAGTCATTAAAAAAAAATTCAATAAAAAATTAGTTTTTTAAAAATAAATTTCTGTTTATGGTAAAAAACCGAGTTTTTTGTGTGAAAAATAAAAATAAATATACAGTTGCGGTCAAAATTTTGGTAGTGATTTTGCTAATTAAATGTAAGTCAACATAAATTTGTATTTCAGACTTTTTTTTCGCTTTCACTGTAAATACCGTTAGGTTAAGGCACCGATGTGACGATATGCATTCGCTTGTTAAGCTAGAATTATTGTTGTTATTGCAATCGGCTATGTTTTGAGGAAAAATGTGTTTATGATCAGTCAAATTCTTAGTCAAATCTTAGCGCAATCAAGAATAGTTAAAAAAAATTAAATTCTTTTTGTTTTTGGGACGAAAAAATTAAAGAATCGGTAAGAACTATTTCAGTTATCAGTATTCTGTTCTATAATGAGGAAATTTTGATCATGCTGCATGTAGTGATGTCAAGAAAAAAAATTTTGCACTGGAGATATGGGCTCTTATTAAAAAGCTGATTGGCGAAGGAAAAACCTATAGAGAAGAACAAAACATCATTGGTTTCTCCCCGAGGATAGTCTAAAACACTATAAAACACTCAATTCATTAAGTCTGCTGTAAAATATTCAAAGCAATATCCGTTTGCGGCTGCCACCGAAATAAAAAAGTCTCTAAATGTGAAAGCCAGCGTTGAAACTCTCCGCCAACGCTTACGGGAAAACGATCTGTCAGCTCGGAGCCCCAGTTAAGTGCCTCTGCTGACTAAACAACATGTGATCAAACGATTACGTTTCGCCAAAGACCATTAGACCATTTCACTTGGCCTTTGACCAAATACTTGTTGGCTTTACTGGCGCAGATACGGCTCATGCGATTTTGACCGATTTAACAACATTTCGCCATTCGTTTCTTTTTTTTGCTGTTTAGCACCAATTCGAAATACCAAGTACAGCCAAGCCCTTCTCTACCTGGTCTTTCCAACGGAGTGGAGGTCTTCCTCCTCCTCTGCTTCCACCGGCGGGTACTGCATCGAAAACTTTCAAAGCTGGACTATTCGCATCCATCCGGACCACATGACTTAGCCAGCGTAGCCGCTGCTTCTTGATTCGCTGAACTATATCAATGTCACCGTATAACCCGTAAAGCTCCTCGTTCCATCTACTGCGATATTCGCCGTTACCAAATGGCGTAACATTTTATGGACTGACGAGTCAAAAATTGTTCGCTATGATGGAAAAGATTCAAGGTAGCTTGTAAGACGTACATCCAACAGCGCACTCGATCCAAAATATACCACTAAAACGGCAAAACATGGTGGATCCAGCATTATGGTTTGGGATGGTATGGAGTGTGATTAAGGAGACCATGAATGCTGCCCAATACTCCCAAATTACGCAGGAAGTGTATGCTAGTGAGGAAATGCCACTGATTTGGACCTGTCAACAGGACAACGATCCGAAGCATACTTGCAAGCTTGCAAGTGGTTTGGAGACAACTGAGTAAATGTTATGGAATGACCCCCACAGTCTCCTGACATTAATCCGATAGAAAACAACAAACATTTAACTCAACCTAAATAAAAATGCTTTAAAATATACCCTACAACGTGTAACACTACTATGATTTTGACCGCTTCAAAACTTAGATTTTCATAAAAAGTATTATTATTTTTATTTTTTATAACCAAGTGGCTCCAGTTTTTTTAATTAGTCTTTTAACTATGAAACAATAAAAGTTAACCTGATTTTGGGAAGCAACTACAAAATTTTTTTCCATCTGAATTTACTGCTTGTCCGCGCTACTAAGATTATGGCTGCAGCCGTACTACCAAAAAACATTTAAAGTTCCCTACGATACCAAATTTACGTTGGAAATGGATGAAAGTATGCAAGGTAAATGTACATGAATTACCAAACGAACTCTTTGTGTGTTCTGTTCATTTTACGCGAGAGAACTACGGCCGCACATTCTTAGCAGAAATTCCATTGCCAAGATTTAACCGTAAGTAAATAAACTAGATTTAAAAATAATACGTAAATCAACTAACTTTTAAGCGATCAAGACCAATTAGTCGCCGATCAGTACCATGAGGACGAAGCCAGTAAACATACCATCCCTAGAACTTCGAGCAAAGTTGTGGGGAAACATTACATCAGTATATCAACACAAACTAAGTAAATTATGCAGATGATTATTTACTAATGTTACTAATAAGTTACTAAACTTGAATGGAAATAATAAATAATAAATAATCGGTTAATCCAAGTAAATAAGATGATAAATATGATGGGTGTCAAAATTGTCGTCAGAACCTGGGATTCAATTGCAAATATTATTGCATATAAAATCAATTGACATGCTGAATTGAAGATAAAAAGAATTAGGTTTCTAATTCGAATATTTTTTAAACGCTCAGAGTAATCATTAACAAGATCAGATCAATACATTTTTATATTTTTAATTACAATTTATGTATTTTCTACTTTGTTTTCAGGCAGCTACTGCACTAAAAAGATGCGCGCAACTTTGGCTTTGTATGGCTCATTTAAAATTTACGGAGTGCGCTGAATTAATACAAATTATAAATAATTGATTTCACACGTTTAACATTTCTGTGATGGAAAAAGACTCTCGATCATAAAGAAAGCTTCTGAACTTGCTATTTCTGAACAAATGCAAGCCATAAAGGCAATGAACGAAGTTGTGCCAAATTTACTACCCTATCTACCGTTCCAACGTGGAATATTACAAAACAAAGCAGCTCTTTCACTTCCCCATAAATATGCTAAATATATTTGAATGGAAGTATATACTGTCTGGTCGCCTGGAAATTGTTTTTTAGAGCAATACGATCTAAAGGAAGACTTCATGACCATCGGGTTTAAAAATACACAATCTCATAGAAACGTTAATTTTATAGAAAATGACTATGCTTTGAGCCAAGATCTGTTTAAAGATGTATTTGAAGAAGTAACAACTTCACAAGAAGGAATTGAGGTCGAATTTATCTTTATTACATACGAGTATATGAAATGAAAATTCAGATTGCAGAATATCAAGAAAACATCGAATTTTTTTTATCAGAAATCACTGAATTAAAGCTCATCCGTTCAAAGCTTTACGTATGCAAACTTATCATCGGAGGATGGTCTTCATAAACCAACGGATGAATATTTAAATATTTTGGCAGCGCTAAATTCTTTGTTCATAAAAACTAATGGTAAAAAATTATCATTTGAACCAATTTTTATGTTTAATCCATTAAAATATAGCAAAAATATAACAAATATAGTGGAAAAAATTCTTAAGAGGCCCTTCTTAGGAAGAACATATTTTTGTAAAGATTTTTACATTCCAAAAACAAATTACATGTATTAGTAAGAAAATGAGAAAAACTGTGACATAAAAAGTTGAACTATTGTTCATTATTACATTTTGTTAAATATTGTTATTACAAATATAAAAATAATGGCAACATACAAGTGCATGAAGACACATACTTATATGTATAAGTATAAATTATCTGTAATAAAAGAATAATAAAAAAAATAAAACATTTCCAAAAATTATTTTTTTTTTTTAAATATTTATGTCACCAAACACGTTTAATTTCTGTATCAAGTTGTAAGCCATAATTCTTAAATTATAGAATTCACTTCTACCATTTTTCTATGTCGTATAACAAAAAGATTCAATTCCAGGCCTTTAGTTCATTTAATGCTTATAACAAAAATATATATTATTTATTTTGATAATGTTTAACAACAAAATAAATACTTAAATTCTAATATATTATGAAAGCATTCCAAAGTAAAAGTAATTAATTTTCAAAAAAATTTTTTTTAATTAACACAGATAAAATAAATACCATTTCCTACAATAACACACCGAGCTAAAATCAATTTGCGAGCATTTGACTTCAAATCTGTGCTCAAAACAATTGGGTACGACAGTGAGCAGGCGTGTATGCGGAAACTATCATCTAAAAACAAATAAAAAAAGTGGAAAAAGTTCACAAATAGCAGACTGAATACATAAATAAATATAGTTTAATTAAAATACAGAAGAAAAGTGAAAAAATAAAAATAAGGAGAACATTCGGATTGCGCCACGAGAGCGAAGAGCAAAATGGCTCTTCAGCCCGAAATAATATAGAAGTGGAAGCAATAGCCGAACAAGAGAGCGGAAACAAAAAAAGAAAAGCGACAAAAACACAACCAAAGAAATCATAGGTAATTCAACAAACTCAGAGACGATGACACGCGAAAATTTCAAATATAGCGATAACCACAAAGGCCCTTTTATAGCCTATCTAGATAAAAAAAAACTACGAAAGAAAGCGATAGAGCACCAATTAACGCAATAAGAGTCAAAAATTTATTCAAGAACATAAAGTAGAAGATGTTATCGACATTGTGAAAATCGGATATGGTAGATGTAAAATTACTTTCAAAAACGGCAATGCAGCAAACAATTTCAGTGAGCTAATCAACGATCAATATGAGGCGCGAATTTTTGTTAATTTTGTGTCGAAAATAGGAATAATGTTTGATGTTCCGACGGATATCTCAGAAGAAGAGCCACCAGAAGACATATCATCGCCAGTCAAAATCATACGAATAACGAGGGTAATTAGGACAAAAGATGGGATAAAATACTCATCCCGTAGAGCTAAAATAATCTCTGATGGGTTAGAAATTCCTGCAAGTGAAGCCATATGTAGCATTCGCACAATGTTATCCATTCCAATTCCAATTCAACCACTTTGTTCAGCACTGCAAACAAAGAAAATATATTTGATCTAAGTGTGGAGAATCACATTACAACAATGCTAATTGCACAATCGTAGTGTGTAATAGTGAAGGAAACCACGAAGCCACCGACAAAGAATGCCCAGCGAGAGTCAAAGCCTATGCCATCAAAAGCATAACAACGCTAGAAATCCTAACAAAACAGGAATCAAGAATAGAATATAAGAACAATTTATGAAACTGATTTGAAATACTTAACGATAACACCACCCTGGACACAGAGCTCCCACAGATACAAAAAATATGTATATATAAAACAACAACGTACAGCAATACAACAGAAGCATTGAAACATCTACATCAGGATATTTTATAAGCTAAAATACCGAAAATGAACAAGAGTAAGAAAAAAAATGCACGACAAACAATGAACGAGTGGAGAAAAACAACAGAGGATAGGCCAACCTGCTCAAATGCTAAAATACTGACCTACCCAACCAGCTTGGATAGATTTATACAAAAACAGGACGATTGCACAATGAAAATAAATGAAACTATTAACAATTGCTTTTGCGTTAGCACAACAGATTATAATAATGATAAAGCCTCATACGACGCATTAGTAGCTATTCAAAATACAAAAAAGCAAATGAAAGTCAATAAAGACTTATGGAAAATTAACAAAAACACACAGCAACATGACATGAAAAAACAAGGAAACAAAGAACTATTAGAAATCTTTATGCACAACAATGACATAGATATTTCTATTTTATCAGAAACCTGGCTAAATAGCCACAAGGAAACAGGTCTCAAAAGCTACAACTGGATACGGCAGAGTGGGATTTTGCATTAAAAAATCCATCAAATTTTCAATCTTTAAACTGGCATCAAATATTGAGAACACAGGAATCACAACACTTAATTTAAAAAACAATATCGGTATCATCAGCGTATACTGCCCACCCAACACAACAAGAACAGAGTTCAAAAACGAAATGGATAAACTATTCCCGACATCAGACAATTATCTATATAATAAATTATTATAATTTATATTTATATTTATATTTATTTATTTATATTTATATTTATATTTATATTTATATTTATATTTATATTTATATTTATATTTATATTTATATTTATATTTATATTTATATTTATATTTATATTTATATTTATATTTATATTTATATTTATATTTATATTTATATTTATATTTATATTTATATTTATTTTTATATTTATATTTATATTTATATTTATATTTATGTTTATATTTATATTTATATTTATATTTTCATATTAATTTTTAAAGAATTAATAATAATAGTCAACTTTTTCCCACTTCGTGAAGCATCTTTTACATCATAATTACCGAAATGAAACCGAAATTATGCAGGTTTAACTGTAAAAGTATCAGGACTACAAAAGTTATTCACATTTTCACCGTTTTTGTCCTTATCGAAGAAAAACTGTAAAATATAGCGCATTTTCTCCTTGCTTGTGTGTCCATCTTTGTCCCACGCCCAAACATAACTGAAGCCACTAATCACAAAACTGTCAGCAAAGCTTTTTTAGTACGAAATGTCGTCAAAGGCTTTTTTTAATTATACCCAATAATAGTTTAACTGTAGTGGCAAGGTGTGGAAATATTATAAAAATGCATATTTTTCGGCGATCTCACGAGATGAAGATTTTCTTATCATATCATATTATCTTTATCAACAGAGACCTATATCTATAGAGGACAATACAATATGAAATAAATTTAATAATATTTTTTTTTTTTGAAAGTAATTTAAATTTGCTGCATATTCATAGGAACCATTTCGTAATAAAAATTATATAAGTATGTATGTATGTACAAATTCTAATTTGGAATAATAAAATATGAGCCAATAAATTTTATTAAGCTAGAAAATGGCAAACGAAATAATGTTCAAGCAAATTTAGGAAATGCCACAAAAGATGGTTTTCGCGTGATGTCAAATAAAAAATCTGTTCAGAAAAAATAATTTCACTTCACCGATATCAGCTAATGAGTCGCCAAATCTCCGCCTGCTGAATTGATTTTTGCTTTTGAATGGAACTGACAACTTAATCCCAACATATGATGTGTTGTATATTCCAGCATTTGTACATATATACCAGCATATACGAGATCGTATGTACATAGACAGCAGAGTCTTTTAAATCTACCAATCGCTTTTCTCATCTCAAACATCAGAGCGTTATTATCAGCCAAATAAAAGCTAGCACTATTGATACTTCATAGATACAAAAGCACTGTCACCACAACTAATATTCAGGGAGCAGACGTATGCTTTGTGAACAATTTAACTCTCATCTTCCAACTGATCTTGGACCGCACGCCACACTACAGATCACTCTGTGTTTACTTTCTTATTGTTTTTAAACTGCCAAACTCTTAAGTCCAATGCTGTCAACATGTTAACTTGTTCTGTGCTGAAACTTAGACCGGATAAATTATGACATTCGATCATTCCCGCAGTACTCCAAGGATTCGGTTAGTTCTGTTCAATTGATACAGCTCACATATCTTATTTAGATTTATATTCGATATATTCGATGCGAAATGAGATGGAGGAATCAGAGGGAGATGAAGATCTGGACTTCGGTGGAAACATCAGTTAGAGAAACTACTGCCTTTATTTTGATGTCCTTAATAGGCTCCTAGCAGCTAAAAGTAGAAACGATATAAGAGTTACTTATAAGCCAAAGCAGAAGAAATACGTTTAGACATTGCGAACGTTAAGCCGCTATGTTGGTCCAACGTCGCTTAACAGATATCCAAATGTCTACAAAATTTTGAAAAAATTAACAAGGAGTTTATGTCGAATAAAAAATCTGAGCTGTTGACAAATATTGCACACAAACATTTGAACTTTCGACACTCGGAAGAAAATATCAATCGATCCGGCTGTGTTTCTGTTATGAAAACGGCAGCTTCTAACCGGTTCTTGTCAAAAACACAGCAAAAATCAGCCCAAATCGATAAAGGAGTTTGGTCCAGAAGGGATAAGAAATCTTTTCGGGAAATCATTTATTTGAAACTCGGAAGATACCTTTCGGGGAAATTTTAGTTTTCAGCCTCAGGTCTTCGTAAATTATTTTTGTATGGAAGGAAGGAGAAAAAGCTTAAATTCTAAAACTACTTTTCTTTTCTTTAGCTTTTAGATTAGGCAGTAAAAAAATTTATTAATTTTGGATAAATATGTAGAAAAATATAATAGAAATTTTGTTTAAAAAATAAAATGTTATTCACTTCAAAATTCTAAGTCAAGTGAAACTCCTTTGTAAATTGGCTTTGGATTGTAGCCCTGCGCCGGAACAACACCGTCTTCGCCTTGCTCAGTCTTCCTAAGTGAAACTTCTTCATGAAAAATCTTTGAAAAAATCCTTAAGCAAAAATAAAACAATTGGTAATTACGGCTTATACGTATGTTTTATTGCATCAATAAGGTTAACAAACGGATCCTTATGACGCCTACTTATATTCCTACGCCACAAATATTTAACCAAAAGCTCAGCGAAATTGCCCGTGTTATTATAATTATCTTACATAAAATATATTTTTATTACACGCCATTGCGACTCAATCAAATGGATTATCCGGATCGGTGTGGTTGACTTCCTGGTGCCCATACCTATAATCCTTCAAGCAATCGTAAGCTTTCCAACGATCTGTATGGATTGTTGTACCCTCTACGACATGCTTGCGGATTAGCGGTATGAGCATTTTTGCGGACCGAACGTTATTCGGGCAGACTTCTTGACGTACATCCTCGCTGCCATCTTCCACCATGCCAAGGACCCAATGACCACCAACTCTCCTCCCTGTAAAGTAAGAAAAACATAATTAATATGATATTCTAAAAACGTATACAAATTTTAATTTACCTTTATTAAATTTTCGTTTCCGGAACTTCGATTCGTCGATTTAGTCGAGTTTCCCCGGATCACCAATTTGGGAGAACGAAATCTTGGCATTTTCAAACCAGGTGTTGATGGCGCGGGAAACTCTTGCCTTTGTCCGGCAGCTAGTTCTGTTGCACCTGATTGTGTCCACGGTTTCATTGCCAGCATCACTTACCGTCATGTGAACTGGACACAATTTCGATTTGAGAATGAACTCATTCTCATTGTTCTCTTGTGTCCCGCTCTAAATACACACGTACGGGATTCCACATTTTTTCTATTTCTGCTGCAGTCTGCACATTGGTAGCACGCACTCCACCGAGTGTGGTAAGTCTAATTGAAAATTTTACGAATATATGTGCTGAGCATAATTCGTTACAGAATCTGATGTTCCTTCTACCAGCGCTGCGGCAGCAAAACCGGTTCGGCTTACTGCGGATGATTTTCGCAACATGTGGAGCATCCATAGAATGCGGGACAATCTAGGAACTGTTGAGCAATGCATAGCATTTGCAGAGGAGCATGAGCTACTGCTAAGAAACAAATTGTGTCCTTCTCATAGGATGCCCATGTCATTAATGAGAAAGGGTAATGACGTTCTCGGCAGTTTTTGGTGCCGCAAGGGAAAATGTAGGGAGAAATCCAGTCTGTCAAGGGCAAAAGGCACCTGGTTTGAGGAGGCTCGGATATTCTTCCCACACATTTTTTATGTATTGTTTTGCTTTGAGCATAAGAAATCGCAATTCGACGTAATGCTCGACGATTACGTTGGCGGGTCCTTGTCGAGCCGGTCCATCACGGATTGGTACAGTTACTGCAGGGAAACCGTGGTGCTGTACCAAATTGACCAGCAAACAACTGGGGGAAAAATAGGTGGTCCGGGCAAGGTTGTTCAAATTGATGAGAGCAAATTTGGGAAACGGAAATACAATAAAGATAATAGTTATATATTTTGTTATTATATAGGTCTTAACATTGTATTTAATTATTTTAGAGAGAAGGGTCGAAGGCCATTGGGTTCTGGGAATGATTGAGGACGGCTCGGAGGATCTACATTTGGAGGTGTGCTCGGACAACGTGCGATCGGTAGAGGTGCTCGTACCACTCATCCAAAAACACGTAGCTGAAGGGACAATCATACATACCGATTGCTGGAAAGCGTATGAATGTCTCTCCAGCTACGGGCACGAGCACCATAAGGTTAACCACAGTGACCCGGATAACCCGTTTGTGGCACAGGATGGCACACATACTCAACGTATTGAGCCACAGTGGAAAGTTATCAAACGGTTTCTTCACAAAGATAACTACAATGTGGCGAAAATCTGTAAAAAAAAAACAGGGAAAACCCGTTCTTAAAAATTATAGAAGCCGTCAAATATACATATAAAGTGTAAAAATTTTATTCTAGTTGTTTTATTTTAGAATTTCTTTTTTATATGTGGCAACACCAAAATTCACAGTAATGGCACTATGTACAAATATTATATTTCATTTTTCCCAAAGCTTGGAACCATAAAGGAAAAGTTTCCCGTTAATTTCAACAAAATAAGTGAAAATAATAAACAAAATCGAAGCAATATTTGTATTTGTTAAACAAAAAGTTAACAATTTTTAAATATATATAGCTTACAAACAATAATAAATATAAATTCCAAAAGTTAAAATATTGGAAAAATATGACTCTCGTCTTTCATGTCGAAATTCCTGGTAGTTCGCTTACAGTGTCAAGTGTGGCTGAAGACTAAAGCTCAGCCTACCTTTCACCAGAAGTTGCGACCACCAACAGTAGATATGCATTAAAGACCTGGGAAGCCGAAAGCCTCCAAATCCATTGGCCCCGACGAAAAAAGTATGCTGATGCTAAATCATCTCGGACCAGCGGCACATCATCATGGCTTCCGTTAAGTGCACAGTACCACAACAGCATAAATACCCAGATAGTCAAGGGTCTTAACCAAAACCGACTCTGCATGCGAACTGTCCTGGTAGCACTTGATCTGTCAAGAGATTTTGACACCGTCAGTCCTTTAGTGCTACTATTGGACATTGAGGCT